GTGCTGTAAGAGCATGAGTCAAGCCCATGGCAGTCTGCATCTGCCTGGTGCAGTTTCCCTCCTGGAGGGATGATGCTCATGGAGATCATGCACCATTCACCCACTCACAATTCATCTAATTGATGGCATGGGGAGTGGATCAGGAATGGTGGCCTTCAAAATGTTCCTTCATCAGGAACTTGTTTAAGAAGCACACGGATTGAGCAGCAACAGCTCCTTTCTTTGTTCAGTATCTGGTCATTAATGGAATTTTTAAATATTTCTGTCAGGGTAGCATTTGTTACAGCCTTGCCTTGTTCAGCAACTTCCAGGATTTGGTCACTAAGCTGGAAAGATCCAGAGGTGGCTAAAAGAAGTTCCTGTCCCACACACTCTGCCCGAATGTCAGAGCTGGCTTCAGTCTGGGCTTGGTGGAAACACTCCAGTTGTTCCTCTTGTGCTGGAGTTCCTTTACTGCTCCCAAATCTGGGTCTGTCCCTGCCTGAATTTCAATAAGTAAAAGCACTTATTTTTCTTGCTGAGGAATTTAAAGCTTCTCTTCTGGGAGGAAGTAGAGGAATTCCATAGCAGCTATCTTTGAATATCAAGGTTAAGTGCTGGAATTAGAAAACATGGGAGTGCTGCACACAGAGCCTCCAGAGAGGACTGAGCCTATGTAAGATTCTGTATTTCAAGAGCCCCTTGTCAGTGTGTATCAGCCAGGATTTAGGGTGGCTGAATGTCCTGGCCCTCCTGAGTTGCTGGTGAAGGCTGTGCCTCTTCTCTGGTGTAAAACCTTGGAGCTGCAGCATGAGGGAATGATGTGGGACAGCAGAATGGCTGCAGAGCAGGAACAGGAGCTCACTGGCATCTCTGGCTATTTGCATTTCACGTTTGCAGCCTTTAATGCAATCACCCTGGCTTTGACAGTGCTCACAGAGCTGCCTGCTGCTGTGGGCCTTTGTGTGGCAGCTCAGGTGCCCAGTTTTAGGTACAGCTTGGATCTCAGGAACCTCCCATCAGCTGAGCAGGTGTAGGAGCTTTAAACTGACTGAGCCTTGGTCTGGCTTCCCTCCAATGACAGTATTCCCAGACACATGCCCTTCCACCTCCTCAACTCCTGGAAGTGCATCTTGAGTGTGTTCCCTTCAGGCAAAATGGGAGCCAGTTCTGTTCCTCATCTCAAATGGACAGGGAGTGCTGGGCAAGTGGGACTCTGTGTCTTTTTATGTGTGATTTTATCCTCAGCTGGACTGAGGGCACCACCTTTGTGTCAGGGCTGCACAGCCTCAGGGTTTGGGGGCTTTTCTGAAAGAATGGGCTTGGGGCCCCTCAGGGAAGGAAGGGGATGAGGAAAGGGCAGGTTGGGATGTAGCATTAGCCTGGAGTGGTGGCTAAAACACAGCCCTGTTTGTGCACACCAGGGTGGAGGGGCCAGGGGAGAGCCTGGCTTTTTAGACCAAAACAACTGGGTGTCCAGGAACAGATTGCCATCTGTGCAGGAGCAGATTTCTGGGCACATGAGTGTCCAGTGTTAGAACTTAGTCCTCTCCAGGCTTTGCTCACACGCTGTGAAGGTTCAGCCCCAGATCTGGGGGCTGCAGTTACTCACTGCTTTAAATTCATGCTCAGTGTTTTTAGGGATCCAAACTGCAGATTAGCCACCAGCAACTGGGAAATTGGAGCCCCTGTAACTGGTCAGAGTGTGCTGCTCCTTGCTGAGCCTCGGTGGCTTGATCCAGCTGCTGGTTCTGTGTCACCACAGCTCATATCTGTCTGGTTTTAGTCTGTGTTGCAGCTCAGGGAAGAGCTCTGAGTCAGCCAGCCCTCCTCCCAAGCTGAATGGCAGTAAAGTGATAAAATTTTACTACAGTGGGAGAAGTTTATCAGCCTGTGCTCACTCTGTATCTCTGCTGTGACACAAAATTACATGCTGGAATAAATACAGGGGACTTTTGTAGCCAGGTCAAAGATAAGACACAATGGGGTTGGTTAAATCATCCTCCACAGAGCTTGGCCAGCAGCTTTGGTAGAATGCACCCTTCTGAATTGGCCACGTTTCTCATTATAGTTGCTGTCTAAATGTGAATTGCTACAGAGATTCAGAAAACCTTGTATGCTCTTAGCTTAAAGAAAAGAAGTACTCACAATTTTTTAAATTTTGGTTTAACTTGGATACACTGGCAGCATATTCCTGAGCTGAAATAAGATTTGTATCTATGTGGATGCCAATTTCAAACTGTAGCAGATTCAGTGCCGCAAATTAACCCCCTGAAGTGTCAGGGTGAATTTTTGACTTTGCTATGCTGAAAATTTTCTTCCTTTTCTTACATAAACCTGTGCCACTTACTTCACAGAAACTGTGTAAACTCTATTGTCACCCCAAACAGCAATTGACCTGCAAAAGGTAATTTCCATGACATTGAAATTCTTAGGATTGGTGGCATTTCTGCTGCCAAACAGCAAGACTTGTCCTCATTACAGGGTCAGAAGAATCTGGCTGTAGTATAGAGAAATTATTTTGTGTTTGGTAAGATGAGGATAGATTCCTCCCTGGTTTATGTATCAATGTTTATAACTGCAGATAAAATGCTAAATTAGCCATTGGTCATGAAAAATCAAAGAAAGTAGTAGGAATTGCCTGTAGTGGAATCTTGTTATCTTTAAAGTATAAATTTGTATGAAAAGATGTCATCAGCTAAACCTTGCAAAAAAACATGGGAAGGGCAGATTTCACTATATTTTTGTCTTCTAGGGATTCTTTAATTCTCTGCGGACTGAGCTGACTGACTACCCTGAGATAAGCGTTATCCAAATCTGCCCAGGGCCTGTACAGTCCCAGATCATCCAGAATGTCTTTACTGAGAATCTTGCAAAGGTAAGGACTCAGTTCTGTCATGACAAACCCAACTTTTGCTGTGGGGCCAATGATCCTTTCATGGGGTACTTTTGTCTGGTTTTGTCCTCCTTGCAAGCACTGACCTCGCCTTCTTACCAAGAAATGCTCTGAGCAGTGCAGAATTGTGTATACTTTTGTAATTCTTGTGGTATCAAATGAAAATTGAGTTTGATAATTGCTATTCCTTGTCTCTTCCAACACAAACAACCAAAATCTAGTAAAATGCACTGTCCAGCCACTGTGCTGCAGTTATTTTTGGGGGGAAGCCAGGATTTTCTGGACAGAGCTGTGCCTGGGGAGTGCTGTCCTTGCTGCACAGGTAGGGTTTTGTTTGCCCTGGTCACGCTGTGCCCTGGTGGGTGACGCTGCTGCTGGCACAGCCCTGGCTCAGCTGACACGAGCTGTGCATTCCTTTCCTGTTAGGGATTGTTCCAGGAGGAAAAGCAAAACCTTCCAACTGCACAATGGCTTTTAGTAAAGGCTGTCTGACAAAGCAGCTGGCAAAAATTGCTACTGTGATGCATCAAACTATAATCTGCCCCAAATTCAACTGATTTGAAGCTCAGGATGACCCACCAGTGAGGAGGAGGGGATCTCTCATTGTTGAATCGAACTCTGGAATGATTTTTGCGTTGCAGAACTTCTGACTTGCATGAAAGAAAATATGTACTTTCTGAACAATGGTGAAAGTTGCAAAACACATTCCTCAGATTGTGGTGTGGCAGAAGACCAGGGAGGAGGAGCAAATCTAGACCAGAACTGCTTTTGCCTTGTGAAACAGGACAGATTGCTAGAGCAGCCTGTTACTGCTGGAGTGAAATGTGCACAAGTTCACAGAGCTGAGGTTTATGTTGAGCACTAAAATGATACACAGGGACAAGACCTCAGGTTGATGCCCCTGCTCCAAAGCAGCTGGCTGCTTTTCTCTTGGTTGAGATGGAGACAACTAGCAGGAATATTTAAGTTAACAGGGAATGTGACCTGACCTACTAACTTGGCTACTTGGGTAACTTGTAGTGTGGAATGGGGCAGGCAGAGCTGGGAACTGGGGAGTTCTCGTTCCTCAGAGCTGCAGAGGGGGAACTTGTTCAATAACCCCATCAAGTGGAAGCCCTGCTGAAGCAGGACAGAGCTTGGAGATCCACTTTTTTTAACCTTTGATCCATCAATAGAGGTATTAATTAAGAGGGTGCTTTATTTGAGCCAAAGGAAGGCAGAAAGTGTTCCCACACTGCAAACCAGAGGATAGTGAGGGATGGGTTCCTCTGCCCCAGTCTCTGGTGAGTTCTTCTTGTGGGGAAACTGGAGGAGTGTGTCTGGCACACGGATCATGGCCCTTTCCCTGCCTCTGTCACTCCCAGGGATGCAGTTCTAACCCCTCCCTGCTCTGTGCCCCCCTCAGTCCATCGAGAACAGCGGGGACCAATCCCACAAGATGCCCACAGACCGCTGTGCCCGCCTCACCCTGGTGAGCATGGCCAACGACGTGAAGGAGGCCTGGATCAGCGACCACCCCTACCTGGCCGTGTGCTACCTGTGGCAGTACGCACCCACCTGGGCCTGGTGGCTCATGAACAGGATGGGCAAGAGGAGGATACAGAACTTCAAGAGCGGAATTGTGAGTGTGCAGCGTGCCGCTCTCTGCCCTGCTCGCTTGTTTCACTCTGCTGCCGTTCTCTCCTGCTGTGGGAATGCTGGGATTGCATTGCTCCTCGCTCAGTGCCCTGATGTGCAGGGCAGTGCTCCGTTCCTGCAGTGCTCCCTGGGACATGCTATTTATTCTTTTGGTACAAAAACCCCCCCCATCTTGAAGTACTGCAAGAATAGGAAATACGTATGTAAGGGTGGCAGATGTAGCTTAAAACTCTGTGCTTTCACACTGTAACTGCCCATGGTCACAAGCTGTTTCAAAGCAGGTCTTTCACTCACAGTGTTGTTCTTAACACAGCAGAAAGCTGGGTGGGGAAATACTGATTTAATGTCCTCTCCCTCCAGGATGCTGATGCCTCTTATTCAAGGAAGAAGAAGTAAGGAGGAGCGTGCACAAAATCCTGCTGTACTTGTGCTAAGGCTGAGAAACTTTTCATATTGCGTGACTACAAACAGCTTTTTTTTGGTTTTGTTATGTCGTTGTCATCCTGTAACTTGACAGATCTATTGAGCTGATGACACACTTGACTAAATAAAAATCTCTTTCTAAACACACCTGTTTCATGCCAAACTCCCACAGGCTGAATTTTGAAGCTTACAAGAACTGAGACACGAGAGGCTGGGCTGCTGCTCTGACACAGGCAAATACCTGATTAACAGCCTAAAATTATAGACCCTAGGATCCCGTTTCCTTCACTTTCATTCCTAATTCATGTTCATTAAAAAGACCCCCACAAGTAGGAGGGTGTGGTATAGAGGGCAAGGGTGTCTGGTCTGTGCTTGGGATGTGTTCCTTGAGCAAAATGTGTGTTCAGGGCTAAATCCCTTCATTTCTGACACAACAGGATTTACCCTCTGGCCCCTTTTGCAGCTCTGCTGCCCTTACACTTCCCTGTGTGTGATCAAGGTCACAATCTAAAGCAAGGAGGTGTTGGGAAGAATTAAATAAAGCTCTGCACACACCTGGTTAGAAAACAGCAGTTCAGGGGTCACATGGGCTAACACTGGCTCCCAAGCTCAGTCCCATTGCTGAGTGCAGTTCCAGGATGCCACCAGTAATCCCAGTAGCAGTGGGTGAACACAGACAAGGCCAAGGTTGAAGGTGCTCCAATTCCTGAATTCCAGATAAATCAAAGAAATGTTCCAACCCAAACAGACTGTGGCTTAAGAGCACACAAAGAAACCAACAGCTGAACAGGGGCACTCAGCTGCACAGATTTGTGGGACAGAACAAGAAGCTTTAACTCCTGTTTCTGCCAAAAGCAGAATGCAGACAGGCTAAAGTGAGGTCACTGTGACTCAGGGTCTCAGGGCTGTGACCACCCTGGGCTGTGCCAAGGGGCTCTGTGAGCAGTGAGTGGGGGTGTGGGGCACACTGCCTGTGACAGCAGGGGACAGGATCTGGCAAGCAGCAGAGCCCAGCTCCACATTCCTGTGCTCCAGCAGGAACTGTGCCCGGCACTAATTGTGCTGCTCCATCTGGTGCCAATCAGGATCTCTGCTGGAACACTGGGCCCAGTTATCAGCAGCTCTCCTCAAGGCTGGGGACCAGATGGAGAGAACCCAGAGAAAGGAAGGGAACAGGATCACAGCTCTCTTCAGTTTTTTCTCAACTGGTTTATTTAGTTTAAAAAAGACAAAGGATGAGGGCAGAAATTACAGCCATCTTTGAGTAAGGACTGCTACAAAAAAGATAATTAAATTTTCTGAGACCATACGGAAGACAAGAAGTAAAAGATTTACAATGAGGCAAGGGAGGGTTAATTAGATTTAGGAAATAACTTCAACTTTTCAGCTGCTGCAAGAGTAGAAAAGAAGTGGAGTGAACTGCTTGAGGAGTTCGTGACACTCCTCGCATTGGAAGTTTTAAATCAGAGTAAACATTTGCCAGGTCAGTTCCTCGTGAGAGGGAGCTGAAATAGGTGCTCTCTAAGTCCCTTCCAACTCTCTTCCATGGCTCTGTATTTCCAGGTGCAGCATGGCACCAACCTGCTCTGGAAATCCATTACACCACTTGCATAGTTTTTAAGAACAATTTCTGGCCACTATCAAAAGGAACAGCCAGCAGCCAAGTATTTAGTTCTGTGGCAAATTTCATCTGAGAGAAAAGGTCTTAAAGGTGAGAAGTAATAAATGTGCTTGAAATCAGACAAGGCTGGGTGTTCCAAACCAGTACTGCTGCAGTTAGGGAGCAGTTCTGATTTAAATTGGTTCTGTAGGATTAGGAAATACAATTACTTACTCCCTGCTTAGCATTTGCCTGCAGTGTAACCACTGACCTGCTGAGAAAATGCAGTTTTGTGCTAAGACTGGTGGTAGTGAACAGGATAAATGAGCCACTGGAAACTGGACCTGTTTTTAAGGTGACCTGTAACATTACAAACCGGCTGCCTGAGTCTGTTCCAGCCTGTAGTGAGAATAAAAAAAACCAAATTACTATTGGCACAAACAGCTGGATTTTCACCACCCCTCCATCATCAAACTCTCACTGCATTTGTGGAAGACTGGTTAGGGAGGTGGACAGAGGTTGCAAGTAACAACATATAGATATACATAATATATATCATATATATGGATACTGGAAGAAGGAGATTAAATCATACCATTTGTTCTTAAAATTTTCTCTGTCCCCTAATTATATACATGTACTTCTTTCATCAGTAAAATCACCCTGGCTATCAATGTGTCAGAGTGCACACTGGTTTATATAAATTCTTTTTACCAAAACAGGTACTTCGGTAAAAATTGTCCCTTACAACTTACTTTAGTTAAAGCAAGGCTGATAGCTTACACACAAAAAAGATCAGTGAAAGTCATATAACAAATGCTAGAACTGAACTCAGTCCAATATAATAAGGCCAGAATAAAAAAAAAAAAATATAAATAGTTCTATGTACACTTTGGTTGTCAACTCAGAGGCTGACAATATTACAAGGAGCTGTAACCTGACTGGCAGTGCAAGTCACCTGTCCAAGGAAAAAACAAAAAATAAAAAAGTAAAAATAAATCAGAATGCATCAAAAATAGGTAATGATCTGAATTATGTTAGTGATGAGAATGATGATAACGATCAGAATTACGTTGCTCTTCTCTAAACTGGAGAATTTCAGCATGTGGCTCATCAGCCACACAGGCAATGGTGTTTTGTGTTCTGGCAGCCAGAAACCACCCCCCAACTTCCTTCCTGCTGAAGGTTCTGGCCAGCACCATCTCTGTGCCGAGGACGTGCGCTGGCCTGGCACCGCCACCCTGAGAGCAACACCAGATCTGTTGCGCAGGAGGGAGCACGGACATTTGATTCCCAAAGTGCAGAGGGAAAACACAAACCAGTAACAGCCATAATTGAAAAAAGGGCAGCCTAGAAGAGAGGCAGCTGCAGGAGCTGCGAGGAGTACACGGGGTAGCCCAGGGGAGGGTCGGCCGCCTGCACGGTCAGGTTGCGCAGCAGGGCCGGGTGTGCCTGGATGCTGTAGCGCTCCTCGTCATCGTTGGTGGCATAGAGCAGCTCCCAGGACAGGTTGGCCCACTGACCTCTCACAGCTTCAGCGTTGAGCTTTCCCACCTGGACTAACAACTCCTGCAGAGTGAGGACTCGGCCTGTGTAAATTCCCTACAACAACAAACAGATGGAGTTGTCCAGTATATTCTCTGACAATAGACAAGAGCATTTCAGTTCCAAAGCACTGACTGAAGCTTTGGGCTACACTCTATGAAAACTTGAAACACAGCAAAATATAAACCAGTCCCCTCAGTTCAATGCTTCCACTGGAATATAAGCAGGAAATACTGCTGCATCTGAAGAAGAGTGCAGTGGAGTTTCAATAGCAGTGGTGCCAGTTCCACTTCAAAACAAGCTTGCAGAGTCTTCATGTTTAAGAACACAATTACAAAGGGTAAAAAAGAACAGTGACAAAGAAAACCAAATTTTGACCTAGTAATTTTAATCCTTACCATGCTTGGGTCATGCCCCAGTGAGAACAGGTATGGCTTTTCCTGCAGAACTGCTTGCTGCCACTCCAGGTCTGACACCAGCCCTATGTACCAATCGCTTTCGTATTCCTCCAGGTAACTCACCAGCTCTTCGAAGTTCTCTACTGGGCCCAGGCTGGCTTTGTCCAGCATAAGTTTAAAAGTGTACCTGAAAGATGCAGAACATCACACAGTCAGTTGTGCAGCACAGACAGGAGGGAGAAAGGCTCACCAACTCTGTCAGCCACTGCTTGTCAGCTGAGTCACTGCCAGTCAGTCTGGCTACGCTTTTAGCTCACCCACATGTAAACCACATCAGCTTAAACATCTCTCATTCACCTCCAACACTTCCCCACTGCCTGATAACGGATAGTGCCAAATATCTAGATCCAGCACAGCTGTTGAGATCTGGAGACAATGAAAATAGGTTTTTTTCCCCACTTAACACAGCAGATTGGAGGCAGCTGCTGTGGAGAAGAGAAGAAAGAAGAAAACTCCCTACCACAGGCTTCACTGCCTGGACTCACAGGCAGTATCTTTGTAGGAAAAAACCTACAAATAAATTTAAACTGTATCAGTTTGCCACACATTACTGAAGTGACACTTCACTACATAATTTTTCTAATCTCAGGAATTATTTTCTTTTACCTGAATGCTTTTAATGCCAGCTGGAAGAGCTCTGGTTTGCCTGTTAGCCAGTCCAAGCCAGCAGACCAGGGAATGCCACCAGTGTACGCCCTGAACACGTGGCGAGGGGCAGGCACGGCGTTATCCAGGCCAAACAGACCAAAGCAACACGACAGCACCCCGTGGATGTACAGGTCTTTCAAAGCTTTATCTTTCATAAGGTCTGTGAGTAAACTGGGAGGCTTCTCTTTCAGATGAAAAAAGTCCAGTTGGCTCAAAACAAAGTGGTACCATTCCTCTGGAAACCTCTGCCTCATTTCACTGACTTTGGAAGAAGGCACTGGTGCTGTTCTCCAGTCTTCAGGGATGCTCAGCAGCTCTGAGTAAGAGCAACTAAATTCTACACGAGGCAAAACTTCTGGCTGTTTCCCTCTGTCCACAGCAGGCAGCCCAAACACCACAGCCCTGTTTAATTTATCTTCTGGCGACATTTCTTGTAGGAAATCTTGGCTCTGTGTTTCTACAGACCCTGGAATAGACAGGTGCACTTTTGGTGTCAGTCCCAACTGCCCAAGGTCTTTTCTGTCTCTTGTTCTGCTACTGGGTTCAAAATCAAAAATGTCACTATCATCAGTCCAGTCCTCTGCTGTATCAACACTAAAGCTGTCTTCTTCCCTCAGAGCTCTGGGTCCTTTCACTGCACTGCTATGCTGATTTTCTGGTAATGATCCTTGTTTGTTCTTGCTGGCACTGCCTGGGCTTTCCCATGTCTTTGATTTTTTATAACAATACTGGACAAGCATCCACACAAGCACTTTAACAAAATCATCTTTCAGGTGCTTTAGATTCTCATGGGAATCAATTATTCCAGATAACACATTCCTGGCATCAGAATACAGCCGCACAGGAACAACAGTACAGGGAGTCAGGATGTGTCCAAAATGGGGATTGGGAGACAGAATCCTTGTGTGCTCCTGATGTTCAAAGGCCATTTCAAAAATTTCATCCACTCTATGAGCTTCAGCAGCATGGCAGGATGTTTCCTGCAGCTCTAGTCCCTAAAGCACACATGAAAACAGCTTCCTGTTAGTCTTCACCAGGATATAACTTTAAATGCTACCAAGCTGTTTACTTGTAACAGAACTATTCTGAACAAGATGATTGTCAGTACTTCCACAACTGAATCTACAAATCTATCTAGAGATAACAGCAATAACAAAGCACTCACTCCAATATTAGGCACTGATCAATGTCTTAAATAAATCTTTCCCTGATGCAGATCTTATTAGCTAGCTTACCAAAGATAGTGTGTCACAAGCTAAATGATAAACAATTTCACATCTGCTACTCATGTAAATGAGTAGACTAATTAGTATAACACTCATCTTAGAAAATTAAATGTAAATCAGTTATACTGCTGAAATGTTACACAGCAAAATGTTTGCATGATTTCCAAACATCAACATCTCAATGTTCAGCATGCAATTACCTTAATGTTAACACCACAGTATGTGAAGCCTTTTTCCAACACCAATATCCACATCAGCCTGTCCTGAAAGCGGCACAAGTAATGTGACCCAGGCAGAGAGAGACCTAGGCACAAAAACAAAAAAAACAAATACAAAAACTACATATTACCTTTTCTTTACATGCCAATGAAAGGATTCAACAGCAAACACAAAATATTTCTGCATCAACATCACAATCAGTTAACACTGGCTAACTGGCACCTTGGAATCTTGAAGAAACTGGCTGAAATTGCAGCTTTGAAAAAGCTGTGTAAAGTTGGGAAAACTCACACAACTGCAGGACTACATTATTCACACCAGACCAGGTGTGAACAACTCCACCTTCAATTCCCTTTGCAGAGAGGACTTTCATGATTAAAGATCATTTCTGGCTGCATTTCCAACCACACAGTTCCCACTGATGTTCTCTGGAGACCTAAAATCCTTTTTACTGAGAATACATTCAAGAATCATGATACAGCGCAGGAGTTTCCCAACGGCCCAATTTGCTGTGGGGTTTTTATTTGTTATCAGAGAAATAAAAATACAACTGAACTGTAATTTGAAAATCAGATCCTGAGCAACAGTAAATAAGTACTCAAAAAAACCACCAAAAAACCAACCCACTTTTTCTCTTTTTTACCTGTGTCATAAAAAGAGCAATGGCAAATTTCCAAAGAACTGGTGGTTGTAGTGTATTTGAAATATAACCTAATGTCAATCCTCCTAACACAATGGTTCTATTCTTAAGCACGACATTTGCTGGCAGCTTATGACCTGCTTCTGCTGTCATTCATGTCTGGTGACCACTCACTTGCAGAGAATTTTAGTTTTAAAATGTTGTAAGATGAAATCAGTGAAACCAACCATTAAGCTGTAGTTAAAATTTAAGTAACCTTTTCTATCCCACTGAGCTAATGAAGTGCATTTTCTTGCTAACATTTTACAAAGATTTTAATTCCTTTCTTGCTAGCTGTTAAAGCTACTAAAACTCCTTTACACAGAAATAACTATGGGTTTAAATTAGTGACACACAAACTGGTACCGCTTCCTTTGGAATTCATCTGAGAACACCACAGTTTTTCTTGCTTCAAGACGTTTGTTCACAGATTTTCCCATTAAAGAAGAGACTTTTTGCCCCTCAGGAGTAGTGTTTTAAATTATTTATTCTGAGGCATACATGCCACTGCAATCATGATGGGAATGGGGAAAAAAACCCTATTGAAATATGTATATATATAAAATAGATAGATATAAGAGATAAATAACATATATATGACAGATATCTGTTCTAATAATAAATGTATCTATGATATGTATAAAATATAGGTGGACTAATGCAGTAGACAAACTGAAGTATTCCTCTTTAGAGAAAAAAACTTCCTAGTTTTATTTAGTACCTCTCTAACCAGTGATGAAAGTGCAGCACATGTTTCCTAGTAAAGCACCTGGATATATTTTTCAGAAAAGCATGATTAAGGCTAACTTCCACTGCCTTCAAATATTAGGCCACTTTTCCCAGCCATAAGCCATTTTCTAAGAGGCTTATGTAAATATTTACCCCTTGTCTAAGGGCTACAGTCTTTTGATTATTTGGGTTACACAAAGGCTGTTTCTCAAGAAAATGACCTTGCAATTTTAAAACAGTTACTCTGTCTCCAGCTGGGAAAAAGACTGGGCATTTCTTCACCTCTGTCTCTGTAATTCTGTGATAACCCTATCATGATGCCTTTCACAGGCTGTCAATCCACAAGTGCTGCTACAATCCTACCCCAACTCCCTGCACAAGATATGACATTAAATCTTATCAATAGGTTTGTTCTCAGCTGTTTACTGCTACTTAGGCTATGTCATGTATTTCACAAACATCCAGTCAATATTCACCATAACCAATTAACACAGCCTAATTAGCAAAGTCACCTTCTGGATGCTGAGTAATGGGATTGATGCAGAGACAGACAGACCTACAGAGAGCAGTCTGACACATGTCCTTCTTTATGTCTGAAAGAACCCAATTTACTGCCTCCACTTAGGTGGGATCAATGCATTCCATTCTTTTTATTTAGTTTAGAAAGATTAGGATTGATATTGTTTCATCACCATTTAGTATCACCTTAAAGGTAACAAAACAGTTACTTTTTTACAGGATTGTAACAAGTAGACATCCTAGAATCATTAGCTGGAAAAGATCTACTAGATCATCAAGCCCAGTCTTTGACAGTATCACCATGTCCATGAAACCATATCACAAACTGCTACAATACTTGTTCCTTGAATGTTCCCAGGGATGATGACTCCACCACTTCCCTGGGGAGCCCATTCCAATGCTTAACCCTCCGTTCCATGAAAAAATATTTCCCAATATCCAACCTGAACCTACCCTGGTGCAACTTGTGGCTGTTCCCCTTTGTCCTATCATTGGTTGTACAAGGACAAAAGTAACCCCTTTTTCCCAGATTTAACCCACACTGTGAAACGTGGTTTTCAAGCACAGATTTTCCTGTTCTCCAGCAAAACCACGTTTCCTGAAGTACTTAGCTGCAATATTTTAGAGCGCTGTCCATACATACCCAGGCCGCCGGCCGCCAGCGCGGATTGCAGCGCTGCGGCCAGGCTGGGCACCAGCTGCCGGTAGTACACGGTGTCGGAGCACACGCAGGCACTGCCGCCCACGGGGCCCGGCCAGCTCCGCAGCGGCCGGGGGAAGCCCACCAGGAACACGGGCAGGGTGAAGAGCGGCAGCAGGGGTGAGGAAAGCAGCGCCGAGACGGCCACCAGGGCCAGCAGGACGGGGAAGAAGGCGACGTTGAGCGCGATCAGGGCGGCGCTGGATCTGCGGCGCTGCTTCTTCTCCGTCCACGACGTCAGGAGGATGGCGATGGCGAAGTGCAGCTTGGAGAGGAACTGGAACAGCCGATCCCGCAGGAGACCGACCTGGCACACGGGCAGGAAGCACGAGGTTTGTAGCCTGTAGCACAGCACAGCTACAGTAATTTGAAGACAGTAACTATTGGTGGTAGAATATATTTTAGCATTTTAGCTTCTATCTGCCCAGCCCTGGGCTCTGTAATTCTCCAGTAGGAGAGGGCAAGGAAACAGACTTCAGGTGACAACTATCTGCTTAATTTTAAATTATGACCATTACCAGCAAGAGTTTGATTCCTGTGTCAAGGCTCCTGTTCCACCAGAGGTCTGGATTAAATACCAACATTTGCGCTGCTGACACAACCACCATGTCTAGTAAGGCATTTTCTGTATTCTGCCAGACCTAAAATAGAGATATGTTAGAATACATTAAAAAATATAACTATTTATTTCTGCTTACATGACCTGGAATATTTCTTCCAGGTCACTCAGGTTCTCAAATCATGTAGAAGAGCATTTCTAAGGCTAACATATTTAAATTAAAATTACCATCCTAAATATCCTTGTGAATCCAATGGAAACAGACACAGAATGCAGGTTTTGTAGTGAACGGTCAAGCGACAGGAATGCTATCATAGCAAACGGAGACACTGCAATTGAAATAAAAGAATCATTGATTTCCTTCTAAAAACGTAACAAAAGTTAACAGAGGTAAGCAGTCTTACTGCAAAGATGGAAATCCTAGCATAAAAAGAGAAACCTTCCCTTCATCATCACAAACTCCTTTCTATTGCGCTCCCACAATATTGAACAATTTATTTGCACTAATGGCCCAGGACAACAAACGTTTACATAAATGCTTAGTTCTTACTTGCTATTAGTTCTTTTGTCCTTTATTTGTTTCTCCAAGAGAATACTCAAATAAATAAACAAACATGGAATAGCAGTCATCAATCTACTTTCCCAAACAAATGCTTCTTTATGAAATGTAATAATTTAAATAAATAATTTAAATAATTAATTTAAATAATTTATATTTTTATTTCCTCAAAATAGATGCATTTGTCTCTAACCTACCAGAAAGGAGGCTCTTCCCTTTACTAGCAAGCTCTAAGAACCAAATATTTAGTCAGCTTGAAGACTTTTGACTCATTTGGTTTCCAAGCACATGTTTTCAAAAGTGGGTACTGCAGTCGTAACTACAATCCTTTAAAAGGCCCTGCTTTTTCAGCTGGGCTTTTAAAAGTCTCAATTTTTTAGGATCACCCCTATAAAAAAAATAAATAAAATCCCTTTCAAATTTAATCACTTTCAAATATGCTGGACTAGTAACTTTGACCTCAAGGCACAATTTAATAAGACATCAAGTACTTCCAGCCACTTGGTTTCCCTTGGTTCATTCACAGAATCTTGCACATACAGCAATTCTAGAGTTTCAATCTCCCTACAAGCATCATCTAACAAACAACAGACAGTGGTGTATTCCTACCTAGTGTTAGTAAAATCCTCCTGACAACACCAACTTTCATTAGCCTTCTTTGCTTCTCCATGAACACAGCCACAGTCCTGACATCCTTTGGGTAAAAGGGGTTTCGGAAGACTCCAAACAAGTACACTCTCTGAATCTCTCTAAGAATCCACATAATTGCAAGTAATAGGATCAGAATGTAACTTGCTATGGCTTGGGGACTGGCTTGGGAAAGTGATGAGGAGCCTGCAAATTGATGCAGCAGGCTCGCTTCTGTGAGAGCAAATGTCAACACAGTCACATAGAAAATAAGTTCCCGCCACCCCAATTGTATTCTAAGACCTCTGTGCGTATTTTTGGATTTTCTGGAGGCTAAATGGCTGATCATGGTGTGTTTGAAGGCAAACCCAATCTCGCTTAGGTTAAGACTCAGTATGAACCCAAATCCAGTCATGAAGAGGATCACACCGAGGGGGCTGGGAATGAAATACGATGCTATTGCTGTTCCAGCAGAAATGAGAAACATTACTAACAACCTGTGAAGGAGAAAATAAAGAAGATTTGCTTGAAAAGAAAAAGGTTATAAACAATACTGATATATTTTACAATTGTATAAACATTTACTTTGTGTTACTTGACATAGGTGAACCTCCTAGTCCAAACTCCAACAGTTGTTCCATTCCCCAGAGAAAAAGTGCATCAAGCGGGGGCAGAATTCCCATGGCCCATAAGAATGGCAGAAAAAGAAACAGGATGTGCAAAATCTGGTTTGTCTGTTCTAGAATGGGTGCATTGACAGCAAACCTGGATAAAAGAAGAAATGGATTTGACTTCTGTGAAGGGAAAAATTAAACAGGAAGACTTCCTGTTTAATTACTACAGCAAATCCCAAAGTAAAAACATTACACGTGCAAGCTATAAAACCTAATGAGTATCTGTTAAAAGGAAAAATAAGCACATATATTTATGCTTGGGACAGTAACACATTAATTTGAACACCAGAACACAGACAAAATTTTCATTTAAAAGATTTGAAGCCTTCAGATGAATACAGTGATGCAATTACCCTGATTATTTTTGTTACTGTTGTGATAATACACTGAAAAAACACTTGTGCAAAAAAGAAAGGTCCACAGGCTCCAAGGCCCCAAGTGTTTAACAAAAATATTGTAAAGTATTTTTTTCAGAAACACAAAAGCAAAATTTTATGCAATTTCAAGGCCCAAGCTCTAGGCTTTAACACTGGAAGAACCGGCATGTTGCCTGTACACCTACAGATAACATTATATATTCCTAGAGAGAGTTTATTTCTACATAAAAGTGTCAATATCTTCCTGCAGAAACATAAAGATCAGTATGAGAAATCTGCATAAATTCTAACCCATATGTAGTTCACCAGTTAAAGGTGGTAGACTGCCAAGATATTTGGTTTCCCTCTACTTTTTAATAAGTAAGCAAGCCTCAGAGGAATTTTATCAGGAATTTTGACAATGTCTTAACCTTCTCCTCAGGAAATAGAATAGTTCTGAATTTGGAGTCCAAGATCATATACCTAATTCTTATACCTCACCTGAAGTGGCAGTTAGGGTAAATCATGAACAAAGACATCTCACAGTGCAAAATTCAAACATTGTTTTTTCATGTATCTGAAGGACCCCAACCATAAATATGTACATGTGACAAAGTGCTATAAATATCACCTGACAGGGAGAAAGAATGCAGAGAGTAAATCTAAAAGCATCTTGTTTTAGGAGCCTAATACTACAAATATCCCAGCTAAGACACTCTTCTGAAAAACAAAAATGTGACTCTTCAAATTTGTAGACTGACACAGCTCTTTTGTATTGCAAAAGCATTTAAAAATCCAAGTTCAAAATCTGTATAACAGAGACACAGCAATATTCCCATTTGCATATCTAGTCATTAAAACCAAATTCAGAGGTGGGGTTTGGTTGGTTGGTTTGTTTGTTCTTGCCTGTTGTATAAAAGCCTCTGCTATCACTTTACAGAGCTTAAATTAGAAAGTATTCCAGGATGAAATCTGGACACAAATCCAGTAATCCTGAAGCTTGCAGTGTTTAGATATATGATTCCAGGTCAGGAACATGTGTTTTCAAAACACATCCTTTAAAGGATATAGATGCAAATGCTTCAATACAAAAATATGAAAAATGACGTGATAGAAGTTTTACCTATCTCTTACTTACAAACTGCTCTTCCTAGTTTACATGGAATGCTATAAAAATTTAAGAACCTTTTTATACACAGCATAGAACCTCAGTTTTTATCATATATGCATCAATCTTCTTTCTTTAAAGTTACTACAGTTGATTAGAATATCAAAATAAATTTTCCTCAAATGAATCATTTAACCTTTCCCATCAAAAATACACAGAGTAACCATCACTTAAATTGGTTAAATGCAATATTACGTTTACCTGTGTGCAAGATCCACTGCAATGAAGACAAAAATGTAGAAAGGTCTCATCAGAGCAGTGATTTCATAAGTATCCAGTGCTTGGAAAGTGGCTGTTTCGGTGGCTGTGTTTACGATTAATGAGTACTCTCCTATGCATATGGTCACCCATCCAAGCACAAAGATCACAACAGTTCCTCCAATGTTGCTATATAACAAGGTTATTCTGTTTGGCAGCAAATACCAAGTTCCCAGCCCACACAACACCCCTGCCAGAAGGGAATGGAATACGGTGTTGATTATGTACTTCTTGCCAGGAATAATAAATTTTACTGTCTCTGAACCTACACAGCTGGAAAATTCAAACTCATCTTCATCTGTCAGGGTATTCTGAATTTGCATTCTTTCCACTGTCACTGTTTTCTGCTTTGCATAGAGGTTTGTCATCTGAAGAGCAAGTGCAGTAACAAACATGAGTCCTCCTGACAGCGCAGCGGTGCAGAAGTCCTTCATCACTCCCAACTGGTACAGGAGTGTTCCCACTCCTCCCCAAAGCCATGGTGTCAGGAAAAGGATGATCTGGTTCACATAGATGTAAGGAGGGGCACAGTAGCCTAATCTGAACCTGGGACCTCCCAGCACAGTCTGAGGGAAACGCTTCAAGAAGAACTCCTGTTTGTAGTCATTGAGCAGGGGTACATCTGGCCCCATCCTCGTGGCTCAGGAATGCTGGCTGGGGATCATCTTTCCTGTGAGAGAGCAGAAAGGAATACATGGACACATTACTGATTCTGGAACTCAGAACCCAGGGAATTCCTGGGTCTTCTTTTTATTTACCAAGGACAGTGGAATTCTGACATGTTGCTGTTTAGAATTTCCCAGAATACAACTATTAAGCAAAGATCTATTTTAAAATATGAACACACTCTTTCATCTGAAGGCTGCAAATAAAAATATATAATCTATTCTTGGGAGATGATAAAACCAACCCATCTCCCCATCAGAATATCTTCCTAAAACTGACATTCTTCCCACCCAACCTGATTCCAATCACACCTTGCCTCAGACCTCCAGTACCAAATCCCGTTAAGGATCTCTGTATCTTGTGTCTGTGATTTCAGTGAACAGCCACACAAGTGCAGGGACACAAGCACACAGAGGGCCCTGTGAAAAATCAAAGCTTTATGGAATAAAGCTTTTTCCTACATAAATATGATAAAGAATATAAGTAGAAGTATTACAAATTGTATTCCACATCAGCACTGTTACTGTCCTCCCTACACAGCCCAGCTGCAGGACAGGATCTCACTATAACGTAAAATAAAGAGTTCACTTTCTGCTTCCTAAAACATAAAATAAAACAAACAAACAAACACTTTGTGCCAATGGAAAAAGCTGAAAGAAAGGAAAAAAAGATACCTGTAGACATTTACAATCACCCATCACATAGAAATAGGTTTGAATACTCATTTAGAGAGGGGTGAAAAAAACAGCACAAAAAAAGCAGTGCCAATGTCATTAATAATAATCCTAAAAAAGAGATGGTGTGCATTAGGAGATGTGGAAGGACTGAAATTCTGACTTTCTTCCATTGGACCCGTACAATCTGATGAATACCCATTGCCATCCCAGGTGAGACATTAAAAATTAAACATTTGGCTGCCAGAGTCCTCAAACTACTGTGATCCCCTTTCTTCTACAACAGCAAACATTTCTGAGCCCTTCTGAGAACAATTCACCCCATTTATTTAAACAGGTATCAGTCACTTGAGTGTTGGTAGATGCTGGTCACTATGGAATGAAGTTGAACACAGTGCAAATGAGATTTTATGCATTATTGTGACTGAAAATTTGCATTCTGCATTCACTAAGTCAATACACTCCCCCATGGAAAGGAGAACCCCACAGGCTCTGTAACTACTCTTTATGTAAGCTGTGGATTTTTTTTTTTCTTTTAATAAAATATTGAAAACACAGGTTTTTTGGTCATACTATTTCAAGTCACTAAATATTTCTTAAAAGTAAAAGAGAAGGCAGCAGTCAATTCCACTGGAACTAATGGAAAAGACACATGTTGACAATGGAGAGGGGAATTCATCCCAGACAGCTCAGGAATTTGAAAATGTAACTGTGACACGCCCAACTAAAAACAAATTTCAAATGTAATTATAAAATATCACAATTCAGCCAATCTTCTTTAGAAAAATAAGCACTGTTTAGAGGATACATGGGCGTGGAGCTAAAGTTGCTGGGATAGTTACATGCGGTAGAAGATTTATAGGCATGGAAATGACAGAAGCCTGAGTTTAAAAAGAAAACATAGAACCAATAGGTGCAGAGTTTTCCTTGAAAAACAATTTTTGGGCAGCTGTGTTTTTCTGCTCTGAGAAGGGCTATTTTTGTTTCAAGTTCCAGTCTGCGTTTGTGTTTGTCAGTTTATATTGCTAACCAAATGTTAACAAAACATTCCTCTTACAGTTTCTGTGTAAACAATAGGCATCTTTGTGTCAGACACAAGAATCTATGTACATAAACAATATAGTTCCACTTGGCTCTGCTCCAAAATGAGCCATAAAAAGAGGTGAATTTATTTGTTCAAGTTCACTAACTACAGAAACTCTTCCCTCTGCTGTTCTCCTGGCTTCCAACTAGTCAGGTAGCACATCAGGACTTCAAAGAGGGACTCATCCATGTCTTATTCCAGTGCAAAGCCCTAGCAACAAGGCTCCACACATTTGTGAGTGTTTACAGGACCTGGCTTCCAATACACATTCCTGACATAAAGGTCTGGCCCCACTTTGACAACTTGCCTGGATACCCAAACAACCCCTAGCACAACAGTCTGTCATCACCGGGGGGATCTGTGCCACTTGGATACTATCGAAGCAAGGATGGAAAATGAGCTCTAACACCATCAAGTCACTTCACAAGTTTTCCCTGCAGTAACCTCGTTTGTTACAAAGGGAAACAAAGCAAACCTTGCCACAAATTCAGGCAGGAGGACATGAATTTTCGTCTAAATGAACACCAACCTTCATGTGGGCTGATGTTGGATCAGCTAAGTTCGGTTTGCTTTTATTTTTAACAGATAACAAGAGTATGTGTACAGCTATCTGCCACCTAAGCAGCTGAAACACATAGGGCTTAAAAATCCTTACCTCGGTGGTCTTACAGGTGCTTTCATGAGAGGATAAGTAAGGGTTACAAACCACTTGCTAGCCAAGCTGGTGGAACAGGTGGGAGGTGAAGGGGAGGCTGTGGCATCCCCTGTCCCACCAAATCCAGACTCACTTCGTGCCCAGCTGCGTGCCCGCACAGCTGCTTAAAGATTCCCTGGACAAACATCCATGGCTAAAGACCCCACGGTGCTGCAGGCCAGCTTCCAGGCAGGAACAGGCTGGGAGCTCCTGCTCAGCAGTGTTGACTTCATTCCCCAGCTAGACCAGGGTCACAGCGTTTGGGGACAATGCCCCCCACCCAGTTATGGATGAGCATCCTGGCATCACTTTTGGGAAGCGTTGCCGGTCACCTCCTCCGAGGCACCTCTGCCCCTGATCAGAGGGGCTCCCACCTGGGCCTGCACGCTTCCCTCTCACCCACCCACCTCCCCTCACCTCTTCTAAATAAAAACACCCATCACCATGCGACTACCAAAACCACCTCTGCAGTCTCCGGAGGGGAAGGGCCGGGGGGCAAACCCGCGGCAAGGAGCCTCGGCGGGGATTGCACCTACCTGTGGCCCGGGCTCGCAGCGGGGCAGGGGCCGGCAGGGCACGGGGCCGAACCGGCGCTGGAGAAGGAGAAGGAGG